CCGAATTTACTGACCAAACCTGGTTAACTGGACCATCTTATACCCTTGGAACTGTACCTGAAGTCACTGGTCTTGGATGTGGACCAAGATGAATGGATGAATTCATCTTGGATAAAGACCGAGCTTCGTAATTGAGCTCGGTCTTCAATTACGTTCCCAAGTGTACCAGGACCAATCAGGGGCACTACTGACCCCTGTTGACGTGGCGCGCACACAAGAATATTTTTTATTTAACCAAATGTTCTATACCTTCTCCTCCTCTTCTCATTTCCTTCCTTCCGCATTAAGTGATCATTCCTGAGGAGACATTGCATTGCTGGCAATGCCTCTCAGTTTAGTCTTCACAATTTATACCACATCAGAGTTTGAGATGTCAGCCATTTCTTTGAGAATCTTTACTTAATTTAATAGCCCATCACCATTACAATATCATACCTTGAGACCCTTTATTGTTTTACCTTTTGTGATTGGAGAGCTCCCAGTCAGAGTGCAGAGTACTGCTTGAGATCGAGAGAATGAGTCGTCCGTGTGGGAGAAAAAATATTAAAATGGTATGTGGGAGAACGCAGTGGAGTGAAGTGTACTGGAGGAGTTAGCAGGCTTAGGAGTTGAGAGAGACTGGAGGTGGTCTGGAGTCTTGGAGGTGGTAGAGGAGTTAGCAGACTTGTGGAGAGAGAGAGAGAGCAGAGGAAAAGGGAGAAGGTGGAGAAAAATCCCTATTTTTTACAAATGGAGATTTTTACGTCCCCATTGACGTAAAAATAATTGACATGATGACACTTTTTCTAATCGTGAGTTTTCTGTTAGGTTAGGTTAGGTTCGAGCAATTTAGTGCATCATTTCAGTGACGTTGTGAAGGCTGGAGTGGACTCTGGCTCCACCACTCCATTTCTCAGTGTGTTTCACTTGTTTACTTCTCTGAAACTCAAAAGAAAAATAGTTTTAATATCTCTACGGCTCGGCATGTTTATGTGCGACCCTCCCTAAGTAATCTGCCACTGCAGGTCATCCAAATTTGTTTCTGAGAATTGTGTATGTGGTAATCATGTCTCATCTGATTCCCCCGTGTGCGTGTGGCAGTCGTGGTTGCGACGCTCAAGTGCAATTTATTGCATAAGAATTTCAACGAAATTTAATGGGTGGTGTGGAGGGGAGGAAAGAGAGAGGCAGGTAAGGAGGGAGGGAAAAGGAATAGATGGAGAGGACAGGCAGGAAGAGTGGGGGTTGAGAGGTGGGGAGGGAGGGAGGGAGGGAGAAGAGAAGCAGAGAAGGAGGGAAGAAGCAGGGAACTCGGTAGAGGGAGGGAGGAAGGACTGAGCGAGGAGGGAGAGAGGAAGGAGGGAAGAAGAAGGGAGCAAGGAGGGAGAAAGGAAGGAGGAAGGGAGGGAGGGAGGGATGAGAGAAGGGCTGGAGGGAGCCTGGGGTGGAGGGGTGGCCGCCCAGGAGACAAGCGCTCAATGAACGCTCTGAAAGAATATTGGGGAATGGATTGTGAGGTGAACTTTGAAGAAAGCCGCTGTACCGGGAGTGTTGCCCCGCGCTGGTGGCTCCGGCCACACCGGTAGCTCCAGCCACACCGGTAGCTCCGGTCACACCGGTAGCCCCGGCCATACCGGTAGCTCCAGCCACACCGGTAGCTCTGGCCACACCGGTAGCTCCAGCCACACCGGTAGCTCCGACCACACCGGTAGCCCCAGCCACCACTAGACAAATAAAAGTCATTGGCAAAGGAAGCTATTTACCCCCAATGACCCAACTGCACTAGGTAGCCAGTTGGTCAGAGTACTGAACTTGTCAAGGTAAACCGAAGTCGTGCGTAAGAGGAGAGGTATTACATGAGGCGTTTGTTTATCATTGAGTTACATTTTCGGTGGACAAAAAAGCTGGCGACAACAGAAGATGTCACAAGGAGGAAGGAGTTGGATGATGATATCATAGACCAACTGAATGACCTGTCAGAAGAAGAGTTCCTCTCCCATGAGGATAATTTTTCAAAGGGTAATCTGCCCCTGAGTAAAAGAGGATTGATCCACAGGTGCGATCCACCAGGGATCGTTTATCATCAGTATTTGGTTGTTGGAGCTGCCATTGTAATTAATATGTATCACGCAGTGAGAAGAGGTGAGAGTGTTTAATTTTTTTTCTTTGGCATTTACTTTGATATCGATGGTGACTACAAAATGCGTTTCCTGCAAGATTAATCAAGACTTCAAGATCAGCAGAGTGTTTTTTTATTATTATTATTATTATTTTATACCACAAACGTGGCCACACATTTACAATGCTAACCAGCATATATACATTTTCTTCTGTCCTCCATGGGCAGGGTTAGACGAGTGTTTAAGGCGTAATTCGTCGCAACGAGAAGTTAAGGAGGAACTTGGTGAGGCTGTGAGTATTAATGTGGACAAAAGTGTTAAGCATATTGTTGAGGAGAGAATCTCTTGGGATTTGTTGGTTTAATATAATTGATGTAAAGTCTTTTTGATTGATGTAATTGATGTAAAATTGGTGTAAAGACCCATACTTTACATCAATTATAGGTCACCATACCAGAGTGTACACAAGGTCACCATACCAGAGTGTACACAAGGTCACCATACCAGAGTGTACACAAGGTCACCATACCAGAGTGTACACAAGGTCACTATACCAGTGTGTACACAAGGTCACCATACCAGAGTGTACACAAGGTCACTATACCAGTGTGTACACAAGGTCACCATACCAGAGTGTACACAAGGTCACCATACCAGAGTGTACACAAGGTCACCATACCAGAGTGTACACAAGGTCACTATACCAGTGTGTACACAAGGTCACCATACCAGAGTGTACACAAGGTCACTATACCAGTGTGTACACAAGGTCACCATACCAGAGTGTACACAAGGTCACCATACCAGAGTGTACACAAGGTCACTATACCAGTGTGTACACAAGGTCACCATACCAGAGTGTACACAAGGTCACCATACCCGAGTGTACACAAGGTCACTATACCAGAGTGTACACAAGGTCACCATACCAGAGTGTACACAAGGTCACCATACCAGAGTGTACACATTTCCTAAGCATCGACCTCGACAGGTTTGGTGGGTTGCTTGGGTTCGCACGTGTCAGGTCATGCCAAACAGTTGCGTCTTTATCTCAAGAGACAAAAGACGAGACACGGAAGGCGTCAGTATTATTATGGCGCTTAACTGTTAACGGATTGGTCGACTCCGTACAAAGATGCGACGTATGAGGTGAGAGGAGAGAGTAAACGCCTTCGCTTCTGATTGGTCCTTTAGACAGCCGTCCACCACACGTAATGCGTTGGGGGTTTGGAACCAATCAACCTCTGCGTCCAAACTCAGCTGGTTAGGCTCAACCACTTGGAAATCGACTCTAATATTCTGGGCTAATCGCGAGAATATTAAAATATTGGTAATATTTAACACTATTAATATTTAAATTTTGGCAAAATGTATATATTAGAAACATTTAAATCCAGCTTATTTCTAAATATTGTAAATATGGTATATAGACCTATCAGGAAGGACAAACAGACAGACGATCAATACATTAGTAATGTTGGAAAAAGGAAGTATTGAGAGAGAAAAACACATCCTAGAGAATTTTGGGAATGAGTTAATATCGAAGTATGAATATTGGAAATGAGAGAGCGGAGGGGAATGAGCAAGACCGATTATTTCAGTGCGTGGAAGTTGGAGCATGAATTATGTATGTGTGGTTGTGTGTGGTGGAGAAGACGGCTCGGGGAGGCATGATCCACGTACATGTGTGGATGAGTTACAGTGTTGGGGAGTGGATGAAGTGGTGAGAGAGAGGGAGAGGGGGATGAAAGAGAGAGAGAGAGGGAGAGAGAGAGAGAGAGAGAGAGAGAGAGAGAGAGAGAGAGAGAGAGAGAGAGAGAGAGAGAGAGAGAGAGAGAGGGGTGACAGAGGTGGCGTGGGCCGGGCGCCAAGCAAGAGTGCCAGGCCATGAGAGAGCTGGCAGCAGGGTCGGCAGCGGACCTTAGTGCCTCCTTGGCTCTCGTGTGAGGTGGTTGTACGCTCGTGGCTCCCGCTGAACCCAGTGCCACTGCCTCGTGTGCCTGGCACCACCCAGATGTGCTCAGAAACTCTGATATTACCATTGTGAAAGTGATTGCCTCGTTCCGAACTACACATTCTCAATAACAGTACGTAACTGCGAGGATATCGGAAAGCAGTTTATGGACTGGAAAGATATTTTTGCACACATGAGCCCCGAGAAACAATTCCAATAGATTTGCATACCAGAGTGTTCATTTAACTCATACACACCCCGCTGCGGCCTCGTCTCCTTCAGGTCATAGTCCCCCCACGCACTCACACACACACACAAACACACACACATACACACATGAGTCCAGACTGGGAGAAGGAGCTTGACACATGGGCTTCAGGAGAGTGTGTTTACGTGCTGGCGGCCTGCGAATGAACTGCACTCAGTCCAGGTGACAAGTGTAAACAGATGAAAGTTGTGTTATCGTCAGTGCCGTGTTGGGTTGCTGAGTGTGGGCTCCCGTCATCCAGGACAGCCAGGTGTGTGGTAGCGTAGAGGGGAAGTTGGAGCAAGAGCCAGGTGTGTGGTTGTGAGAGTGGAGCAGGCTCTTGGAAGCGGCGTTTCTCTCTTCGTGACTGTTGGGTGGCTCTTGCCTGATTTCCACACACACACACACACACACAAATACACGCACACAAGCACCAATTCATACACATACATATACCAAGACATACACACACACAAGTACCAGGAGATACATACATACACTAAAACATATATATTTAATACACACATACACACACACACACAAACACACACAGGCACCAATATATACTCTCAAGCACACACTCAAACCTAAACGCATATTCACACACACACACACACACACACATACACACACACACACACACACACACCCACACACACACACACACACACACACACACACACACACACACAGGCACCAATATATACTCTCAAGCACACACTCAAACCTAAACGCATATTCACACACGCACACACACACACACACACACACACACACACACACACACACACACACACACACACACACACACACACAGGCACCAATATATACTCTCAAGCACACACTCAAACCTAAACGCATATTCACACACACACACACACACACACACACACACACACACACACACACACACACACACACCATCGAGCGGGTCACTACTCGTACCTCCATAAACTGACAGGTAAGAGAATTCCAGTTACAAAAAATATTGGGATAGGCAGAACATTTTTATTTATTTGAAATGTGCGATTCTTATTTATAAATGTATGTAATGAAATGTTTTTTTAAAATATATAAACGCCACTGTTTCTATTGATGTTTGTGTATGAGATTAGATAGAAATACACTGTTCTTAAACGCTCATCTTCGGCTGAACTAAGACTAGAAGGTCAAAACGTGCACCCTAATTACTCATTCTTGACCTGAATATGCTCCAGAACTGAGCGAAATGTTGTAGAAAATAAATCCTTCAATAATTACTACGAGTTTCTTCACCATAAATTTGGGTAACTTGATTGTTCTTCTTAATCTCAAATATATACATAAATATATATATATATATATATATATATATATATATATATATATATATATATATATATATATATATATATATATATATATATATATAGTGGATGTCAGAAACTCGCCAGAGACTGTTGATAAAAAATGTTTTCCCACGTTCAATTTTTTGGGTTTTTTAGTTGAATTTTGAACCATTGTTTTATCAAATGTAGATTTATTGAAATTTTAAACTGCAAATACAAAAGAGGTCATGCAAATGTGGACCTGGTCTGTCCTATAGAGTGCTGTGAAAAGGCTAGGTGAAATTGGACCAGCCTTTTTATATGCAAAGATGAACTAAACGCTCTCTCTTTAAAGTGAAAGATGAGTGTTCTTTTGTGAGTGTGTGTGTGTGTGTGTGTGTGTGTGTGTGTGTGTGTGTGTATGTGTGTGTGTGTGTGTGTGTACTCGGACCTATCCTGTTTCTGATATACATAAATGATCTTCCAGAGGGTATAGGTTCATTCCTCTCACTGTTTGCTGACGACGCCAAAATTATGAGAAGGATTAAGAGAGAGAGGAGGATAGCTTGAGGCTTCAAGAAGACCTTGACAAGCTGCAGGAATGGTCGAACAAGTGGTTGTTAGAGTTTAACCCAATAAAATGTAATGTAATGAAGATAGGTGTAGGGAGCAGGAGACCAGATACAAGGTATCATTTGGGAGATGAAATATTTCAAGAGTCAAAGAGAGAGAAAGATCTGGGGTGGATATTACGCCAGACCTGTCCCCTGAAACCCAAATCAAGAGGATAACATCAGCGGCATATGCCCGGCTGGTCAACATAAGAACGGCCTTTAGAAACTTGTGTAAGGAATCATTCAGAATTTTGTATACCACATATGTCAGGCCAATCCTGGAGTATGCGGCTCCAGCATGGAGTCCATATCTAGTCAAGCATAAGTCTAAGCTGGAAAAGATTTTAAGGTTTGCCACCAGACTAGTACCCGAACTGAGGGGTATGAGCTACGAGGAGAGACTACAGGAATTAAACCTCACGTCACTGGAAGACAGAAGAGTTAGGGGGACATGAAGATTCTGAGAGGAATTGATAGGGTAGATAAAGTCAGACCATTTAACACAAGGGGCACACGCACTAGGAGACACAGGTGGAAATTAAGTGCCCAAATGAGCCATTGAGACATTAGAAAGAATTTTTTCAGTATCAGAGTAGTAGACAAATGGAATGCATTAGGAAATGATATGGTGGAGGCTGACTCCATACACAGTTTCAAATGTCGATACGATAGAGCTCGAGGATCGTAGGAATCTGTACGCCAGTAGATTGACAATTGAGAGGCGGGACCAAAGAGCCAAAAGCTCAACCCCTGCTAACACAACTAGGTGAGTATACACACACACATTGAAAAATCCGAGCATTGGAATAGGGGAACCAACATGGCAGGAGACACCAAAACAGTGGGAGGTGAGGGACAAGATGACTTGATTAAGGCAATCGCTCACCTGTGGAGTCAAGACAGTGAAGAACCGAGGGTAATGAGGGAGCCAGTAATAAACCTGCAGGATGAGCTGAAGGCAGCAAAGGAGAGATAAACAGCCTGAAAGAGACTCCTACTCGATACCAGACACGAACCATCCCTCAAGAAGCTGGTACTGTATCTGTAGAGGGGACTTCTGCAATACAACCCTCATTTGCAGAATTGTTTAGAGAAAGCCCTGAAGATCTATGTCTGTAATAAAGGAAGTTTCCATGAAAGTGGCTACTTCTCAGGAAGCATCTAGATGTACTAGCTGGCTGATAGAGACAAAAAGAGCAGTAGTCATAGTAGGCATTAAGGAACAAGTAGGGGCCAGTCCATTGCAGTGGAGTGATCTGGACAAAACTGACGTTAAAGAGATCCTTGAAGGGGTACAGATGGAGAGGACTCAGCAGAATATTGAAAAAAATTTCAGGCTTGGACAGTACAACAAGGATAGAGACCGATTGATAAAGGTGGTATTCACGAGCAAGAACACAAAAGAGGAGCTATTACCAAGGAAGAGTAGACTAATAAATGTACCAAAATTCAAAGCAGTATTCCTGCAGAAGGATATGATAAGGGAAGAGAGAATGAGGGCAGCAGCCACAAGCATGGAGGGCAGGATGAGAGAAAGGAATCAGGGAACCACAACTCCAAAGCCTACATTCCCAGAGGGGAGTGGGGAACACTGCACAAACAGTTCAACAGCCCCAGTGAGAGGAGCACCCCCCCCCCCTTCAGAGGTGGGGGGTGGTGCTCAGAGAGTCACTGAAGGTGAAGAGAGTCCCCTTCAAGGTGATGTACTCGATCATAGATGGAATTACAAGCAAAGCAAGTGAACTAAGGGAAAGAGCACAAGAAGTGAACCCGGATGTAATTGGACTTACAGAAACAAAACTCTTGGGAATTATTACGAATGCGGTATTTCTATAGGAATACACTGAAATAAGGAAAGAGAGGGAAGGAATGGGAGAATGCGGTGTTTCTCCAGGACTACACTGTTATAAGGAAAGAGAGGGAAGGAAGGGGAGTGGTCTACCAATGAGAGAGGAATGGAGCTTCAAGGTGATGGTTATTTCGGGCTGCAAAGGTTCAGAGACTACATTACAGGCACCATGACGATGGGAGGACCACGAGTAGTGGTAGCAATGATATATAACTTTTCACAAAACAACAGAAGACCCAGATAAGAGTATGACAACAACATCAGGGCAGTTAATACTATAATTGAGATGGCAGCCTCTGCTGCCTGTAGAAATAGATCCCATCTGCTCATCATGGGGGACTTCAATCATGGAAGAATAGACTGGGAGAACAAGGAAACACATGGAGGTGAAGAAACATGGAGAGCTAAACTATTGGAGGTGGCGACAAAAAACTTTCTAAGCCAGCATGTCAGGGAACCCACAAGAATGAGAGATAATGATAAACCAGCGAGACTCGACCTAGTCTTCACTCTTAACAACTCCGACATAGTGGTAGTGAACTTCGGAAATCGGTAACGAAGCCCCAGTAAGAATGAGGGATCACAGTGTACTGATTTTGAGAATCTGGTCGAAGAAGAGTTAATGTACTCAAGGAAGGGACCTGAAAACAAAAGGCTGGCATTCCGAAAGGAAAACTATGAGGAGATAAGGAAATTCCTAACAGATATAACTTGAGAAACAGACCTCAGAGGAAAGTCGGCCCAAGACATGATGGACTACATCATGCAGAAGTGTAAGGAGGCAGCAGACAAGTTTGTCCCAGTCCAGAAGAAAAAAACGAAATGCAGACGAGAAACCCATGGTTTAATCAGAGATGTAAGCTAGCAAAGCAACATAGTACAAAGGCGTGGAGAAACTATAAAAATAACAGGGCACTTGAGAGCAGAAAAAAATACCAGAATGCCAGGAATGAATACGTCAGGGTGAGAAGAGGCAGAAGGGCAATACGAAAAATGACATCGCAAGCAAGGCAAAGACTCAACCAAAATTGCTGCACAGCTACATCAGGAGAAAAACAGCAGTATAATGAAACTGAGGATGGGGGGCAGACAGATTCACTACAAACGACAAGGAAGTATGCGAAGAACTCAATAAGAAATGAAATATCTACATTTGAAACCGTGTATGGAGTCAGCCTCCACCACATCACTGCCTAATGCATTCCACCTGCTAACTACTCTCTCACTGAAAAAGTTCTTCCTAATGTCTGTGACTCATTTGGGTACTAAGTTTCCACCTGTGTCCCATTATTCGTGTTCCACCCACGAACAATGGGTGGAACACTATTTAGCTATTTAACACCCATCCTAAATAGTTTGCCTTTGTACAACCTGTCAATTTCTCTGAGACTTTAGTAGGTGGTGATCATGTCTCCCCTAACTCTTCTTTCTTCCATGGATGTGAGGTTTAATTCTCTTAGCCTTTCCTCGTAAATCATTCCTTTCAACTCTGGGACCAGTCTGGTAGCATACCTCTGAATCTTTTCTAACTTTGTCTTGTGTTTAACTGGGTATGTAGTCAAGGCTGGAGCTGCATACTCCAGGTGTGGTCTGACATAAGTGATATACAAAGTTCTGAATGATTCCTTGAACAAGATTTTAAAGGTAGTTCATATATTGGCCAATCTGGCAAAGGTGTGCCTAATTGATGGAGTGGAGGGGGAGGTGTGTAGAGCTGATGGAGTGGAGGTGGAGGTGTGTAGAACTAATGGAGTGGAGGGGGAGGTGTGTAGAACTAATGGGTTGGAGGGAGAGGTGTGTAGAAACGAACGCCACATAACACTGCCAACGGTTCATTTGATATTGATTTCCATTTAACCATACTGGAGGATGAGCGAGTCAGAGCGAGGTGTGTGCCTCAGGTGGCGCCGCCGGGTTAACGGTACAGAGGTTGTGGTGATGGCGCCGCCTCTGTGTTAACACCATGTGGATTATACAACATGGAGGGGGTCACGCTCGCCCTGTCGAGACGGAGCCAGGGAAGCAGGTATATTTATAAGAGCCATTTGCTGGAGCCATTAAGGCTAGTGTGTGTGCACTAGGGGTGAGGCGGTACTGGTGTGGACTCACCTAGTTGTCTTTGTCTGGGTTGAGCTTCGGGTTGCTAGTCCCGCCTCTCAACTGCCTATCAACTGGTGTGTAGGTTTCTGAG